GGTGAGACCTGGAGGTTACCCACTTTTTACAACTGATCCCCAGCTGACAGAGATCAGCTCTCCTGGAGAAAATGGCTGCTTTGAAGGGTGGGCTCTATGGCATTGCACCATGCTGAGGCCCCTCCCCTCCCCAAACCCCTCCCTCTCCTGGCTCCACCCCCAAAGTCTCCAGGTGTTTTCCAACCCAGACCTGGCAACCCTACCCCCAAGGGCTTGGAATGCCTTCCCTGCAGAGGCCTGCCTGATGCCAGCTTTGCTCAACCTTGGGCTGATTCTCTTACTGCCTGAGGCTCTCAAATGGGCTGCTGATGGAAGTTCAGGCTGGCCCAGACATAGGCCGAGCACCTGGTGAGCAGGCAGAAGGTCCCAGGTTCAATCCCCGGCATATCCAGTTAAAGGGCAGTCGGGGATGAGAGCCTCTGCCAGTCCGAGTAGACAATCCTGACCGTGATGGACCAAGGGATGGACCAAGGGAGAAGGCAGATTAAGGTGTTCGCTATTGGGATATTTTGGTTAACAGATAGCAGAGTGTTGCCCAGTCACAGAAGCGTGATCCTGAGTGCAGTAAATAAATCTCCCGAGAAGTATATTGCAAAAAAAGATAAACTTACATTTATTCAAGTAGATCCAATTCACATTCAGGTTGCAGTCGAAAGAAGAGACAGAAGCAGGGGTCATTTCCTGCCGGAGCATGGCAGAGCGGCGCTCCGGCAGTAAGGAGCCCAGAGGCGCCCCCCCGCGCCGTTCAATTCCTGGCCCACCTTCGCAGGCAGATGGGCCAGGGAAGCCCTGCTGAGCCCCCCACCGCCTGGGGGGATTTAAATGCCTTTCTTTCCCTTCCCCAGAGGGGGAAGGGAGAGAAAGGCATTCTATACATGCCTGGTTTCCCTGCCTGATCTTCTCTAGGTGCCCCGCAGTCATGGGGCATCTGGAGAAAATTGAGCAGGGAACGCAGGCATGTTGGCCTCCCTGCCCTCCCCTCCCCTCCTCCAGCCAGCCCACTGTGGCGAGCTGGCTGGAGAAGAGGATGGGAGGCGGGCAGACATGCCCCCCCTTTTCCCTCAGCCTCTCCGCTTTTGCGGAGAAACTCAGGGAAGGGGAAGGGGATTTAAATGCCTTTCTTTCCCTTCCCCAAATGGGGAAGGGAGAGAAAGGCATGTTTGCATGCATGCCCTTTGTCAGGGGGTGTGGCATATGCAAATGAGTTATGCAAATGAGCTCCTGCACCTCTTTTTCTACGAAATGACCCCTGGAAAGAAGCCTAATCTGAAGAGTACTTTCCCCATCACAAATGGTCAGCTTGTTTGGTATCATGTGTATGTGAGTGAGAGGGCATTGTATCTATAGGAGAGACCTGTGTCTCCATGGAAGGCCATGTGTAGAGAGTGAAAGGACAAAGGGAGAGAGAGAGAGAGGAGGGATCAGAGGGGCAGCTCCCAGGTTAAAACAAAAGGAGGCATCCCATTCAAGGAGATAACACCTTATACACCCTTAGAGTGTATGTAGCGCCTCCCAATGTCCAGGCATGCTGAGCTGGTCATTCCAACGTTCACTGGAGTCCTTGTTTTTCCAGGAGTTGTCAAACTGTCCTTCTTGAGACAGCTTTGGGGTCTTCTCTAATGCTGTGATGCAGGTTGGGCAGAAAGCATTAGGCTGTGATTTTTGCTTTTTTTCCCCTTCAGGATCCTGTTTTGATCTGCTGTGTTCTACTGCTACCGTTTCGTTTGTGTTTCCATTTCTGGAGCAAAAGGCTGCTTGTGGCAAACCGTTCTAAAGCAATGAATGTAAACTACAGCCAGAACGTGAGTTCAGAGGCACGGTTGAGCTGGGTTCTGTGTTTGCCTGTGAATCGCCCGTCCTTTCTGTCTCTTGGAGATTCTGACGGGGAGGAAAAAGTTGAGAAAGAAGCATTGCCACAGCTGTTGCTGATGGTGGTATCCTCCTGGGTGGGGCCCCAGTAGGTGTCAAAGGAGGAAGGAGAACTCTTTTGGGGGCGGGGAGGGCAGGGGAAGTTTGACGTATTTGTACTTCTGAGCCATGTCGGTGAGCAAACAGGATGGGGGCTGGGAGGAGGCTTACTGGAACTGAAGGCGCCGTTTGGGTGCCCTCGTCTGTCCTTCAGCAGGGAGAACTGGCCGGCAGGCATCTCTTGTGGGGAGGAAGCCCTGGGCCTCTCAGCATGTCCTGAAGAGGAGCTCCAGAGCGCTACTTCCGCCAAAGGAATGGAGAATCTCCTTTGTCTGAACATTGTGGGTGTCCCCAACATGGCGCCCGTGGGTGCCCGTGGCGCCTGCAGACCCCTTCCCTGATGCCTGGCAAGTGTCTTCGTAAAGTGGGCAGGGCCGACGTCTGACGGGCCGTTCGAGATTTGATTGGCTGTGCAGATTTGATTGAAACGTTGCTTTGGCAGCACGGGCCACCCCAGCTCTGCGCTGTGTGACTGAAGGTAAGCCGTGGCAGCTTGTTTCGTGGCTGGCCCCGCCTCCTTGGGCAGCCGTCTCGTGGGTGCGCCCACCCCCTGTGTCAGAATTCCAGAGGTGCCCACAGGCTCAAAGAAGTTGGGGCACCCCCCCCCAGCCCCCTGGTATGTTATGCAGAACTGTGAATTAACCCCCTGTCCAGAGGTCCCCTGAGTGATCGGCCGTGGGAGGGTTCATGTGGCAGCCACTCCGGGGGATGTCCCAGAGTCCTGTTTCTTGATTTCTCTGGGAAACGTCTGAGTCCCGTGGTGGTACCAGCAGCTGGGCTGGTTCTGTGCCTCGCTATCTGGGGTCACCGGCCTCCCCTTCCTTAGAGGGACTTCCTCTTCCTGTTAGTCCCTGCATCACCTCAGCCTGTTCTTGGCTTTGGCTCCCTCGTGCTTTGCCCCCATTTTGGTGTAGTGGCTAGGAGTGCGCGGACTCTAATCTGAGAGAACCAGGTTTGATTCCCCACTCCTCCACATGCAGCTGCTGGCGTGACCTTGGGTCAGTCACAAGTTCTCTCAGAGCTGTTCTGTCAGAGCTGTTCTCTCAGGAGCAGTTCTCAAAAGATCTCTCAGCCCCACCTACCCCACAGGGTGAATGTTGTGGGGAGGGGAAGGGAAAGGAGATTGTAAGCTGTTCTGAGATTCCTTCAGGTAGTGAAGGGCGGGGTATAAATCCAATCTCTTCTTCTTCTGCCTGCATGGAGTGATGCTGGGATGCGTTCCCTTCATGGCTATTTTTGGGCAGGAACGCACAGGAACGGAGTTCCAGCTGGCTCCCAAGTTGGCCACGCCCAGTAGGAACTCATTAGCATAACAGGCCACGCCCAGCATAACAGGCCACGCCCAACAGCAGGAACTCATTAGGACTGGCTACATTAGAGGTGTGTGGCCTAACATGCAAAGGAGTTCCTGCTCCAAAAAAAGGCCCTGGGTTTTGACAACAAACAAGGTAAACAGAATAAGAAACAAAAGGTGCGTGTGGCTGGATAACCACACTCCTGGTAACATGGGGGTGCGGCCTAATGTGCTAATGAGCTGTGTTGGCAGGGGTGTGGCCCAATATGCTAATGAGATCCTGCTGTTGGGTGTGGCCTATTATGCTAATGAGTTCCTGCTGGGCTTTTTCTACAAAAGGAGCCCTGGTTCCCTTCCACCCCCGGGGCTAACAGCAGGGTCGACAGGCCTTTTGGCTAGTGACCGCTGGGAGGCCACAAATGGCCGGCAGCCTTGATGTGGAAGTGGACGCATGGGGTGAGTGCGGAGTGGATTCCTCTTCTAATGGTTTTACCTTGCTCTGCAGTGGGATGTATTTGACCCGGCTGTTGTGCTCGGAGGACTGAGCTCCTGGAAGATTCTGGTGCTTCTCGGGACCGGACAGGATGGATGAGTTGGGACCCTCCAGTGCACGGCTGATTCAATGAGATGGGGAATGCAGAAGGAAGGAGAGAGGTAAGGGGTTACCGAATGGAAAAATGGGGGCCAGGCAGCAACATGAAGCTGGGATGGGGATGCCTTCCTCCAGGTGGGATCTGGGGACCCCCCAGAATTACAGCTCCAGACTGAAGAGATCAGCCCCCCCCTTGGAGAGAATGGATGCTTTGGAGGGGGGACGCTATGGCCTTGCACCCCACTGGGGCACCTGTCCTCCCCAGGCTCCATCCCCAAATCTCCAGGAGTTTCCCAGCCTGGATCTGAGAACCCTACCCTGCCCATTCTCCGGGCTATGGGGGAACCTGGCAACGCTGGGCTGGGGTGGTCTCGAAGGGGACTGTGAAGAAAGAGAGGCAGTTCCAGGCATAGCTGACTTCTCAGGGGGATATTAACATCAGTGGGGCTTGGCAGGAGCTGAGTTTACATTCTCAGTGGAGCACGTGACTTAAAAAAAAGAAGACATTCCATCCAACTGGAAAACAAGTTTTTGATTTCACTTCGGTGGGATAAGCGAGCAACCCCGAAGGTACTGAAAGAACCAGGGTTCTGATAGAGCAGAAAGAGGCGCGGTGTCTATGTGAAAAGGTGAAAAGGCACGTGGTTGGAAGTTCCCGTTGAATCCCCTCTTTCCTTTTTAGAGAAACGGACTCCGAGTTTCTTGTTCTCCCAAAGTTCCTGGAGGGCAGTGCTGATGAACAGTAGGGCTTGGAATGCCAAAGACGTGATGCAGAGAAGTTCTGCCCAGCAGTGAGGGAGGGAAGATACATCTGCAGTGGAAGCCTGTCGGCAGGGGGGGAGGGGTGGATTCTTAGGGGGAAACTGGTGCAAATCAGGGCTTATCTCAGCTGGGAAGTTTTGTTTTCTTCCTCTTTCAACCCACAAGGCTCTGGCTGCCGGCTGAGAGTCAGGAAGCTGCCACGGGTGGATCTTCGGAAGCTTCTGTGGTCAACTCCTTATGCTGCTAAAACTTGGTCTTCTGGCTGGATCACCCGAGAACAGGAAGAAGTGAACACTGGTAACGTGGGCCCACCGCCTTGTCCCCCAAAGACTTTTTGCCCCCCCTTCCCCCCCACCCTGGGTTTTTGCACTTCCTCCCTCCGCCATGGTCTGGTGCTCCTGCTTTCTATCGGAAGAAGAAAAAACTGCCATTGCCATCGATAAAGAAATTAACCGGCTTCTTCAGGAGCAAAAGAAGCGTGAAAAACGGGAGCTGAAGTTACTTTTGCTGGGTGAGTATTTTGTGCCTGAGCGGGAGAAGGAGGGGGGCTGTGGCTCAGTGGTTAGGGGCGTCACCTGCACTACGTGCCAACGGTCCCAGGTTCAATCCCTGCCATCTGCAATTAAAATCATCTCAAGTGGTGGATGTTGGGAAGAGACTTTCTCTTGGAGCGCCGTTGCCAATCAGAGTAGGCATTGCTGAGCTGGATGGGAAAGTGTGCCAACCAGTGTCCCCCCTAAGCTTAGTTAGTGTAAGCTAGTTCACAGTTTTTTAGCCTCTGGCTCACACATTTTTGTCTCGGCTCAGGAAGGATGGCTCCAGAGCAAACTAATATATGCCGTAGCCAAACTGCTCACTCACCACTTTCATGCCAGTAGCTCACAAAGTAGAATTTTTGCTCATAAGACTCCACAGCTTAGAGGGAACATTGGTGCCAACCTCCTGGTGGCACCTGTAGACCTCCCACGGTTACAACTGATCTCCAGACAATAGCAATCAGTTATCCTGGAGAAAATGGCTGCTTTGGAGGGTGGGGTCTATGGCATGGTATCCAGCTGAGGTCCCCCCCCACCCCACTCTTCCCAAGCTCCACCCCTGAAATCTCCAGGTATTTCCCAACCTGGATCTGGCAACCCTAGTTGTGGGAGACACAGTTGTCTTGGTCACCGAGAACACCTGAACAAG